ACGTGAGCAATGTGAGCCATTCCAACATCAGCATGAGCAACGCCAGCAATGTCAGTGTCAGCAAAGGCTCCAAGGAGCGTTCCGGGCTCAAGGTGCGTCTCCTTGACACGGTGACCATTCTGCACGTGAGCGACACCCACTCTTTGCACCGCTCCACTGGAGATTTGCCCTCCGCGGATATCTTCATCCACTCGGGGGATGTCGCCAAAGTGGGCTCGGACGGGGAGCTAGGGGATTTCAACGATTGGCTGGGCACCATCAAGCACAAGTACCAGCACATGTGCCATGGTAAAACAAGTTGCCTTTGGTTAGGGACGGTCATGAACCCCTTCATCTGGAATTTGGGCAACCATTGTAAGGGCTTCTTGTAAGCGAGCCATGCACGTGGCAAGTTTGGCCATGGTACGCATGGTCCTGTGCTTTTTAGCAGGAACCACTTGTGATTGAATGATCTGTTGAATGTTCGGAGATGGTGACCACTTCCGGACCAATCACAAGCGTCTAAGGTTTGTGATCGCTGGGAACCATGACTTCTGGGACACGAACTGGCGCCTGAACCGCGGCTGGATGTCTGTGAACGTGGCTTCCGACCCGAGCTACTTCCAGAAGAAGATCTCCAATGCCAAGGTGGATGTGTCTGAATAAGGGAGATTTAATCAGACGGACTTTCTAGGGCAGCACCATCTACGTAACAGATTGCAAAAGGTTTCACATCGCGGGACAAGCTCTCCTTCGTGCTGTAAAAACAAGTCTTCATTTCTAGAACTATGCAAACTCACCGCAAACCGAGAAGGAGGAACACCGATAACAAGAAGGCCCGCAAGAGCTTGACACAATTTTTAAGAAGCCATGGTCGACCTGATATAAATATATATATATATACAGCATCCGTTAGCAACCAACATCCGGCAGACAAACACCTTGCCAACAAGCCTCCAACACCTTGACCCTCGGCTCCTTGAGGTGTTGAACCACGAGCTGGCAGAGGTCATGGGCCTGAAGATCTGGGGCGCAGGTTGGCAGGCGCGCCGTGGGGACTTCCAGCCCGGCAACAACTACCAGGCGCGGGTCTTGAGGGAGCGAGCCAAATGGGCAGAGTTGTTTTTGAAGGAAAGGCCTCCTCCCCAAATGGTTAGTTTCTTGTTAACATTGCGACATACTGAGGGAGCGCTTTGGTGTTGACTCGCAGAAAGGCTCGAATGCCAGGACATCCCAGCGGGTGTGGACGTTGTGGTGACGCACGAGGCCCCATTCGACATCTTCGACCATGCGGGCGGCGCCCACTGGGGATCCAGCCACGAGTTGCGAGGCGCCATCTACCGAGCCAAGCCCAAGGCGGGAATGGCGGGCAGATAAAACGCATCAGGGAGTTTCGCTACCAACCAACAAGACTATTGCAACTATTCCTTACCTTGAAGATTCCCCGAAGACCATTCCATATTAGTCCATGCGCTCTCGGCCCCTGCGAGGTGCATCTCTTTGGTCACGTCCACGAGCAGCGTGGCCACTGGGACCGGGTCGGCAATGGCTTCCAAGGAGGCGTTGAGTACCGCCCCAACCCGCACGTGAACCAGGCCAGGCATGGACACTGCCGGAGGCTGCGTGCATCGCTTTTTTTCGCAGATGTGTGTAGTATTGGCATGGTCAATGGGGCGAAATAAGCATGAACATATATTCAAGTACGTTTGGCATTCATCACGACCATTATTTCCAAAGGGTCCAGGTGCCTTCCAAGGATATATGTTTGCAGGTCTTCCGCCCCAACGGGCCTCCACCCTCCGACTACCCGGTGGAAGTGGAGTCGAACAACGCCATGGCCAACCAGCCCACCGTTGACCACAGCAGCTGGCAGAGAAAGCCACGAGCTTTTCCGATTTGGCCAAATTGAAACTGTTTGTTCTCAACGCCTGGCCTTATGCGACTGAACACGTCTTGAACACTCGCATTGTTCCAGTGGTCGGGACTATAGTGGGATGCGGGTTGAAAGGGCCAAATGTTAGGTCGCCAAAAGGATCCCTATTCGACGGCGGGCTGTGGCGTGGCGTGGGTTTGAGAGGAGCTTGGGCCCCTTTGGATCCACGCTTTCTGCAGTTGGCTCCAACCGCCAAAGATGATAGGAAGAAGCAACAAGGCTTTGCTTTCTTCGTGTTAGTGGAGTATGTTGATTGTGAACAATTGTTCGAACCTCTTGGTTGCAAAACCTGTTCATGTCTTGCCCAGTGATGAGAAACGAAACTCGAGGATGCCACATCCAGGCTACCCTGCTGAGGCCCAAGTAACTTTCCCATATATTACTTTCTGAAAGCAACAGCAACAACGAAATACCATTGCTTTCCCTTGGACCTGTTTGACGGGCGAGCGGATCATCGTCCGGTGGCGCTTTGCTTTCCTTTGAGGCTGGACGGGGATCTGGGCCCCTCAGCACATTGTGGGCCGTGCCCGCCTTATCACCGCCAACCGCGGCGCCGATGGATGGCACTTCCACTCCTCCGTGCCGTAAACGCGAGGCGAGAGCCGAGGCTGGAGCTGGGGGAAGCTGTGGCAACAAGTCACTGTACTGTAAATAGCTTTCTGTAGTGTATATATCACGCATGTGCACATGCCACATGAGATAAATCCCCCAGCATTGACGACCACTGCAGAGAGAAACCAGTGGAACAAATCAGACCCTGCCCCATATGTTTATGCGGAGTCCCTGTGTTTCCTTGCTGAGACTTAATGTGGACATGAATGGCGTACACGCTAAAAGTTCAATGCATGTGTGTGTGTGTTAGAGGAAGCTGCTGTTTGTTTTGTTGCGGGGCCCTGACCCTGAAGGTCCACGAAGAGGCTTTGGCGATCCAATGATCGGTTAGACTCGTTTCAAAAGGCACGATCGCGTCTTAAAGCGGGCACACCCGCATAATTCAGAACCGTTTTCCCGGGCGCACACGTTGCCCAAACCTGCCATGCATCTTCAGGCCGAGACCTGACATGTTGCTTGACGCCTGATGTGTGTCTTCGTTTGTGTCAGGTCCTGCCTAATTCGCACTCAGTGACTGCAGGAGCTCCCTTTGCTAGGGTCCTGCGCAAAATATCTAGATTCTCCGCCGCATGTTCCATCGTCGCGGAGGCCGGACAGACACATCCGCAACGGGCGCAGTAGCCAGCGCACACCCGGGCCAGGCCAGTTTTAGAGCCTGTGGGCCAATTTGCTGAAACCGGAGCTGGTCGAATTCTTTTGCCGCCACTGCGCGAGATGTGCCGCAAAACAGTGCGTCAAGTCAGTCGAAGTACGCATTCAGCGCAGGGTCAGAAAGTGCATGTGGCTCTAAGTGGGTCAAAGCTTTGCCAGGGCTGGTGGTATCCATCCCTCTTGCAACCTCATCCGTTATAAACTGGCTACTCCTTGCGGTGTTCTGCAGGAGAAGTCAAAGAGTGCGGCCAAGGGTCCACAGACCGAGATGGAGTACGAGCAAGCCTCGCGACTTTAGACATTAGAGGATGACCGCAGGAATGCGTAGGCGTAGGATGAGAAAGCATTGTTGCGTTTCATTTCCCGTGTCTTTCCCTGTAAACATAGTCAAGATAGCTTCAGTAGGTTATGTGACGTTATGTGATTGATGCCTTGTCAGTATGCTCACTGACTCACTGGCTTGATGTGATGACTTGTGGGGTTGTTTCATCTGGGCTGGGTGCGTTAGTGCACACATGGAAATAAGGCACACTGGGGGAGGGGGGGGAGGGGTTGGCTTGGTGCAGCTTGCTTTCGATTCGCTTTTTCTGCGGCACCACGAGGAGGCTTTGGATGTGCAAACATCATCGATTGTCGAGGGCGGGCCAAAATGAAAGTTCAAGCACAGGCAAAAGGGCAAAAGGAGTCAAACCGAAGCACTGGCAAATTGCAAGATTCGGGATTTGTTTCAAGCGGTCTGGTTGATATTCGAAAGATCCACGAGCTCGCCTTGTGGCTGAAAGGGACTCCTCATTTCAGGTTTGGAACTCATCATTGTGATTTGCCGAAGATGTACATTTATACGTGCATAAATTGATTGCTGCAAATATATGGGATTGTTCTTTGTAGTTCGTGAGTTGCAATGTGCCAGCCAAGAGGTCCACATGCCGCCAGGTTTGGCGCGGACCTGGATTTCGTGTACCCCTTGGAGGCGTCCTCCTGCGCTTGGCGGCTGACTCCGGAGGAGGATGTAGAGGAGGAGGACGGTGAAAGGGCGTCAACACTATCGAGCCCCCCGCCGCTTTGGGAACCTGCGAACTGAAAAACCACAAGGCTACAAATTTGTGTGACCCCAACAAGTGCTTGGTGGTCGAAAGTTCGACCTTTCATGTTGTTCTGCTTCCAGCTTTTGTCCTTGGCATTCTTATTGATTCTCTCACAGAAAGCAACACACCCACAGAGTTTTAAGCTTTAGCATGCTTTAGAGTAATATGGAAAACAATTGTGTGAGGAAGCTTCGGGACCCTCTGAGTTGGACAATGAATCAACCAATTTAGGCCGGCAATTCACATCGTTTGACAGCGACAGAGCATATTCACTTGATCGCATTGCTGTGTTTCTTGAGGAACTCTTTTGCTTGCAACTACTGCCTCCAAAGCACTTAATTGCCAGTTCCGGACTTCCAATGAGTGCAACCCACACGATTGCTATCGGCGACATCCTGCCAGCACATCTTGCTACAAAACACAGTCCATGTGGGAGACTAAGAAAGATCCTTTGGATGTGTATCTTCTTTGCCGTGAGCTGCTGGACGACTCTTGATTTTGTCCCCCAAGAGGGCAAGCATCAAGCCAATTCCAAAGGAGACGCCTCAGCAGCTCTTCCTCAACCGCGCAAAGGTCGGGCGAAGCTTGTGAGTTGTACCTGGCTTTGTGTTTGTGTGCGCCACAGTCAAACTGCTTAACAGACTCCAAGTTGACAGCCCGCCGAGAATGTGCTGTGAAGCGCCAAACATACCCTGCTGATGTGGCATCATGGTATGCCAGGGGGCTCAATTTGTTGACGCCCTGTACCACTCCGGAGCCAGGGGGGCTGAATTTCTGAGCGTCTTAATGGACGGCTAAGGCTCTTGAATGTCTTAGCAGCCTCTTCGTTGGCCCCGGTTGCTCTGCTTTGCTTGTGAGCTGTTGGGGGCTTTCAAGACCCTCTCTGCTAAGAAAGGCTCAGTGACTTCGCGTGGCTGGGACTTGAAGCAAGAGCAATGCGTTTCCAACTCCCTTTTATGCCAAGATCAGTTGGTGCACTTATCAGACATATGATCGTTTCGGCAAAATCACAGCGGCTTAAATTCCGGGAAGCAAGAGCAGTTGCAACATACCTGGTTGGCAAATCTGAGCCCCTCATTTTTTATCCAATGATTTCGTATCCGGTGCTTGCCTGTAATTATTATTCGATTAATTGCAGCGAGTCTAACACTGTGTCCCTGATGGAATTCCTTGATCTTAGGCATCCCTGAACATCACATAAGCATTGATGTGTTGCTTGTTCTGATTCTACCCAGTGCTGCTTGCGCGTTTGGCATGATGAGAGCGAACGTGGTGAGACTTTCAGAACACTTTGCCTGGTTGACTGGCAAGCCAGGGCTGAGGTGTGTGCTGTTCATCACAGTATGTTTCTCTGACTGAAGCCTGTCGAACACCTGTCAGGCGTTGATTACGGCTGATGCCAATGCTGCTTGAATGCATCAATTCATTCTCAGCGCCGCGGCACTTCACCCTTAGCTTGGCAAGGCAAAATGGTACTTGGTATCAATTCAATGTTGAGCAGCTGCAAAATGCAAGCAACTATTGGCCCACATTTGAGCAGAGTTTGTTTTGCGGTAGCAAAGGGGCAAAAGGAGAGTGGACATATCAGGCCCCGCGTAGGCACACTACTGCAGGCGCGTAGGCGCGTGTAGCCACTTGTTGACAGTCGGCTGGGGAGCTTCTCGCGTAGGCACCGCGTAGGCTCGACTTGAGAGGTTAATAGTAGGTGCGCGTGTATGAGTTTTAGCACGAAACGCACACTGCTTAGGCACTTTGAGAGCCAAACTCCAACCGCGTGGGCTCGCGTAGGCGTTTTAAGGCTGACATATACCTCGCGTAGACCGTCCCGCATGGTATTTGCACATGGCGTAGGCACCGGCGTAGGCGTTTGATACGTCATCAGCATTACCTTTCCAAAAAACAAATCTGCTCATTTGTGTGTCTCAGGCAGGAGCATTCAGCCAAACAAGCAGTGCTTGCTGTCCACTCTTAGCAAATTAATAGTCGCTTGCTACCATGTTTGTGAGTGGCAAGAGTCCAACTCATCGTAAACAGTAGAATTGGTCTAGCTTCCATAGGCAGACCAGCCTGCGATCTAAACTTATTTATGGTCATTGTTCCGCTGGCAGGCTCCGCACAGCTCGAGCATCACCAACACAAGAACGGTCGACATAAACAGCAGACAGCACACGGAAATTTCCAAAATGTCAGCAGCATCGGATCTTGCCGCATTGCAGCTTTTGTACTTGTAAGAATTGAAGAGCGTGGTGAATGTATCCACGGCTTCTGCTTTTGCAGCGGACAGCTTTGGTTCGTCGGTGGCTGCTGTGGCCTGGTGTATATGTCATGCAATTTCCGTTGTTGAGCGCGTGGAGTCAATGTAGTCGTCAAGTTACCAAGCAAATATGCATCTGCTTGGAGCAAGCGCAACATCTATGTCAAGGATCAAATAATTGGACTTGGCAGCAGACAGGTGATTGCTGATGGTACCGCCCCTTCTCAAGCAGAACAATGCCTGCTCGGAACGTGTGCGGGTGATAGACTGCTGGACATATATCCCCCACATCCATGGTGTCAAAGGGTCCCCAAATCAAACTGATACTGGCTTGCTTGACAAGTCTCCCACGTCGGCCCGAGGCGTCCAAGCCAAAGGTGCAGAAGCCTTCGTGCCGGAAGGAGGCCGGGCGGCCTCATGCGCTCGGTGGCCTGTCTGTTGAGGTTTGGTCCCTTGTGGGCAGTTGCTCTTAGTGTGCCCCCATGGATGAGACGGCTAGGTGATGGATCCAGGTGTCTGTTCGTTTGTGGAAGCCAAAGCGACCCAAGTTCCAGCAAACCTGTAGTGGCTGCCATGGCTGGGTAGCCAGAATGGCTTTGAGCAAGGAGCAGAGCCAACAACCTAAGACGTTGCAGGCGTCAACAACTCGCTGTCGGCTGTGGTGGATGCGGCCATTGATTGAAGCATTTCTGTGCCTTTGGTCAGGACCTCATCTGGTTCCGCGAGGCTTGCGAAGAGCACTTGGCCACGGCATCAGGCGCGTGTGAGTCGAACGTGGGAGAGCTGGCAACAGTACTAAGCGATGTCCTGGCACTATTCATGAACAGAGGGACGGCGTTTCTTCCAACAAACCCAGTTTTCCCGAATGAATGCAGCTGCCATTATTACACTCATATACATGGTGGCAATCACTGTGGCCGCTTAACACCTGAAGGAGCAACCACCTGATGAGCTACTATGGTGACAGCGATAGCTGGTGATTGTAC